AAAAAAAAAAAAAAAAAAAAAGACGGATGAAGAAAAAATACCAGCAAGTGTCCTTGAAGTGTGCCACTGCCGAAACTAAACGATGCCAAAGATTTATTGGACTTCTTGCTCTCATCAACATAAACGACTTCTAGAGGCATCAAAAGCCATGGGAAGAATGTTTTAGCGCAAACACAAAATTTAGCCGCTCTCTGGATTGGGGTATTGGGATCAACGTATGCCCAGTCCAGATTAAAATGCCTAAAAATAAAAAAATGATAAACAATCAAAACCATTGTTCTACGCCAGCCAAACAAGCTTTATAGTATAAAAACTGCATGCAAACGTTTGAAGTGTGCATAAATATGTGTATTTTAATTTTAAAACTTCTAATTTAATTATCCAAAATATTGCAATTGACCAAGTGACCCAGTGAAGATCCTGAAAACATTGATTAAAATGTATACGTTTCATTTGCTTCTGTTCATAACCTCCAATTCTGAAGAGCACTTTTGCCTCTCTCAAAAGTATCGTGACCCGAGCCAACCAAAGTGCAGGCATGGTTCACTAGAAAACCATTGTCCAATAGATCCTTGTCCTGCTTAATCATAGATGCAGGCTTAGCTGTAGCACCTTTATATTTGTTGTCATAATTGAAGACACCTGACCTGTTGATGGATGTATCAAATTTTTGTTGTACAATTGTAAGCTTACCTGAAAAAATAACATGACGATCAAAATGGAAACTAACAACCATAGAACGGCAAAGAAAATAACTTACTTGTTAATGCATGATTTCTGCTCTTCACGAGATGGACGCGACCAGCACAAGAAAACCATCTCTCTCGATAAAGTCAGTACTAAATAAAACATTCAAACATACAATACGACACAAAATACAATAAGAACCAAAATACACTAGTAACTATCTAAATTCGCATGTTAAAATGTTCACACAGAAGGATATCCAGCTTTTTGACCGACATAATATTCAGTGAAAATACACCGACTTCTAACAAAAATAGACAACAGCGATTGGTAATTTTGGTCTTTTTGGAAGATGAAACAGTAAATTTCAAGCATTTAGCATGAACCCAAACACTTGTGTAACTAAAACTATAATAGTATCAACTCGACAACTGCTTATCCAAATTCAGCATTCATCAATAAATCTTGGGCTGTTGGCTCTTTCCGATCAAGAAATCTTGGGCTGCTTGTCCAAATTCAATACTCATCAAACAATTTAACAATAAAAAGTCTCAAAATGCCACTCGAAATCCCAAACCAATACACCCCCTTAACATGGAAATTTATCAAGATTCGGCCAAAAAAAACGTCTTAAATTGAAGAATTCCGACCAACAACAACCAAATAATCACTGTCACTGTCTTAAATTTAATTCAAAATGTGAGAAAAGTCCCAAACACAAACAAACACTCCAATACAACATAAAATAAGAATAATCAGCGAAGAAGAACTCAAGAATTCTAGAAGAAGGGAGAAAATATAGCTGAAACAAAACCAAGAGGAAAGAACTGCTTACGTCACAACCAATTTAGGGCTTGCTTGGAATTAGGGTTAGGTTTAAGGTGGCTCAGGTCTTGGCTTCCGCAGGTGATGGCCGAGAGACATACATAGGAAAAATTTATACAGGAAATCTAAAAAAAAGTTCTAACATTTTAGAGAAATGTTACGAGTCTCGTTATCGAACCATTTCGTCGAAGTTTATAATCATTAGATCAACTATTTTGGACGGTTATATGATGATCTAACGGTTACAAACTACGGAATGGTTCCGTAATAGGGCAGCATCTCCCTAATATTTTAATTCATTCACTTTTTTTAACTAACTTAAATTTAACCTCACTATCATCAATATTATCAATATAATTAAATAATATCAATCAATTATTTATACACATCAACCTTAATTTACTATTTATCGACTCACAATATTTTAATTAACTATCACATCAAATTTTTAATTATTTTATTTTAAATATTATTTTAATATACGCAGTAAAAATTAATCATACTACATTTTTTAAAATTATCCAAACCGAACCAAAAAAATCCAACAAAATCAAAAATTTTCATATTCTCTTCATTTCCTTATTCTCTCATTAAGTGAACTTGGAAATTATTTGATTAGGTTAATTGGAGAAAATTTGGTTTAGAAAAATTTAATTAGATAAATTAATTATTTTAATTAGGTTAATTGATTTATTTAATTCAATTAGGCTAGAATTATAAGATTAAAGATAATAGGATTATGGTTAAGTAATTTTTATAGCTTCGGATTAAATTCCAAAATTTATATCACTACTCAAGCTCAAATAAATGATACCGAATTATACTTTTATTAAAAAAAATGGAGCGCTACAAACCAAATATTTAAATTATTAAACTGACTCGTTTAATTTACCAATTCTTCCTGTTAAAGGAAGGTCATTGACCGGTTGCCAAACCGGTTTTTGTCGAAGAGGATAAAGACAGGTTAAAGGACCAGTTCACTTCCTTGAAGTCCAGTTGGTTTCACAACCATGACTAAAAGAATCTTATATAAGGCTATATATATACCCAAATCGAAATATAGTCTATCTAGGGTTGTAAACGAGTAAAACCGAACTCGAACTTAGGGCACCAAACGAGCTTTAAATGAACTCGAACTCGACACGTTTGAGCCGAACTCGAACCTTAACGAACTGAGCTCGAGCCGATCCAATCCAGACTTGTTTAATTTAACAGCACTAAGTCTATCTATGTTTATGTGGACTTGGTCAACGAAGTTCGTGAATGCAATGTCCGGTAAAAATAATCTGACAACATTTGGTATGCAGCAATGTCCTGTAGATTTGCCCTTGTTTCAAATTTCCTAACAAAATATGCAAATCTTGCTATTTTTACTTGTCAAAATAATGTTAAAGGGATTTATGAACCACAATGGTTCAGCATACATTTACATATATTCACAAAACATCAGACACCACCAGATCAATTAGATACTACTACCAGTCTTCGATATCATCATCACCATCATCAATGTCGTTATCTTTTTCATCCAAACTCATGTAATGACATTCATCCTCAGGTATTCTATTTCCAAGCCAGCTGAGAGCCGGTTTAAACTCGGTGGCGAAAACTGATTGATTCCTTTGTCTTATACCAATATGGCCATCTCCCAATTGACTCAGATTTTGAAACTGCAACAATCAGCAGACAAGAAATTCAATTTGGACAAAAAAATGGGGTTAAATTTAGAATAATGATCACAAATTACTCAGACATTTCTTTTTTTATCGTAAATTAGTTCACACAAATGAATTCAGAGATATTTCAAAGCAATATCTTAAGATTCGAAATACATTTTATCCACTCATATGGATCTGTTATTATGGACTTCAATTTTGGTCCATCAGATATCAACTTTAAAAATGGAACTCTATCACACTTTTTATGAAACTTTGGAGCTAATTAGACTTTTAGGTAATTAGATCAAACTTCAAGGAAGAATCAACATTACAGACACTGGCTGCAACTTGCCAAGAATATCATCATATCAATAGGAAAAAGTCAACATTCAGTTTGATAAAAGGTAATGACCACAAGATGTAGATGATTAGGCCTAGGTCCATGCGTGCACTAATTTTAGTGCTTCATCTAGAGGATTCATAGAATTATTTTGTAAATAAGTTGCATCTACGTTAAGTTGTAAAACAAGACTTACCACCTAACTGAAGGAATCATCTTGACCACAAAACAAACCATTACAGATATGGCACAAAATACAAGATGTTCTCAATGAAGAACAAAGATAAGGATAAGATATTCATTCACACATAATGTAAAATTATATTGCCAAAACTAACCTTATTATGCCATAGTGACTGCTCAACCTGCCAGAGGACCGGACGGCGAATAGCATGCCACCTGCAATATCAAAGTGACTAGTAAGCATGATACTCATCCAAACAAACAAAAAACATTAAATCAAACCATACCTAGAAGACAGTGGATCAGAATTCCCAAACAACACTCCTCGCACAGCAACCGAAGCAGCAATAGATTGTTTAATGTTCTCAACTTCAAAATCTCGACATAAAGTTCCACTAGATGGGGCGAGAAGCAAGTCAGTGTCACTTAAATATCTCTCGATTACCCACGCATCCTCGATTGCATCCTCATTCACAAAGTCTAAAACTGTAAAATTACAAGCGTGTTAAGGAAAAGAAAACTGTAGACAGTGTGGCTCTCTAACTTCATTAAAGCAAGTTACTGATGTACAGAGGCGGATAAAATTTACAAATTGATAAAACAAGGTATGGATGGCCAACAGTCAAGATGGTAAATGGTGACTCATAAGATCTTCAGGTGCTGCAACATTGCATGTAGTAAATAAACAACCAATTTAAGAACAAAATATGCATTTCATATTTTACCATTTTCATGAATAAAATCTGCCATAGATCTCGCTTGCCCATGTGCCTGAGATAGCACCAACTCTGGAGCATCCATTTTTAGAGGACGTCTGATGAATTTCTCCTTAAGAGGAAATGCATCTCCATCTGCATTAGAATATGAGAATATCAGTTAAACGGTCGAATGTCTTCGTTCATGAAAAAATAAGTTTCCCATCACCAGCCCATTGCAAAAATAACGATGACGAGTCAGCCAAAAATGGAAAAAGATTTAGAGATTTCATTTTCATAGTTTCATACCATTTAGACTAGAAACAAGCCAGAGATATTTAACATGTTATTACCTCATAGCTGTTTGATCCATCATTATTTTTATAAATTAGGATAGAAATAAATACACAACACGGAATATCGTTTTTGTTGGCATGGCATGTTATAGGAGCCCAAGTTAACTTCTAGGTAATCTAATGGCCCAAAGTGTGAACACATACTGATAAGTGGTACATTGTCCAACTAGAGAGCATAGCCTAGGTGGGTTTGGTGACATCTATGAGGCTTTGGGTTTGACTAAAGTGTGTCAGCTTTTGGCTCTAACAAAATCAAGAACCTACATTCAAAGTCTAAGCTTACCAAGATTTAAAAACCAGTCGCTAGATTTTGGGAACAAAAATAAATGTCAATGACCATATGGTGAACATCGTGTGAATAAACACTTTTTCCTTATTGTTCAAGCTGAATGGGTGAATGTCCACAAGAACACATTCACGAAGAAAGCAATGTTAAAAAAGAACGTGGCTGAAGCTAATCTACCTATTTGAGAACTTGAAGCTGACGCGACACAAATGTGAAGTTATCGTTTTATAAATGGCAAAATTCAGTACATAGCAACTGAATTTTGAATGGATAATCCTGCACAAGAGCTATTATCACCAATTTGGGTAAGTTTTGGCAATGGGGTTTACAAGAGTCAATGGAACCTGTATGCAGTTGTATGACATAGGAGTTCTAGAAAAAATTTGAGTCCACGCAAAAAGTGTTTAGGGCATAAAAGCAGAATTGTTATCTTCCCAACAAAACGGTGTAGGTGGTTGTCACTGGCAATAGATACTTAGTTTCTTTTATTCAATTTTAACAGACTGCAAATCAGTCTTCATTACTTAGAAACAAAATAGCAACTTCAGACTTGCAGTACAGACTTGTGAGCCACCAAAGTCCATTTTCTTGCCTGGCTAATAGTTTCAAATGTCTAAAGCACATTTATGCATAATGCATTATACCAATATACCTGATGTAACTAAACAGTCAGTCTCCCTCTTGTTGTGCAAAAATTTGCCCAATGCATGAAACAAAGATAGAGTAGCATCTTTTCCAAATGGCAGAGAGGCACCATCGTTCAAATGACCACTCCAGCTCCCATCCTTTTCCTGATAAGCTGGAACTCCCTTTGAAACAGATAAACACTTCCTAGGATGTGGTTTTAGCGAGATGTACTGTAAAGATGTAATTCCATGTCTTATATCTCCTCCACTGGCTTTTGCTATAGTATGAATCTGTTCATCACTAGCCTCAAAATTTTCTTCTCTGCATATTCTCTTAAGTACCCTTTTGATAGAATTGACTGTGATAGGATTGAACGACACCTAAAAGATCCATAGACTTCATATACTTCAGCAAGAAAAATATAAGATTTTCTAAAGGACAAGGTAAGAAAGGCCACCTTACAAGCCCCAGCATTTTGTAGAGCTAGCTGGAGTTCTTCTGAGTACCGGCTGTTGCTCTCCGTATATTCAGATCTGTCCGTGTCGTTGATTAATATGGCTGTAGGAAGACGCACTGATTGCACAAGAAGATGCAAGCACCTCTGAAGTCTTCCATAAGAGACCTTTCCATGTACCACAGGAAGATCATCAATCAAGAGTATGATTGATGATGCGTATAACCTGTTCGAGGATGAGGAAACTAATCCATATTTCCTGATCCTTTCAACAAAACTTTCAAATTCATCCAATTTTGACATATATCGTATCCCTAGTTCACAACAAAGAGTGTAAGAGAAAAGATAAAACTTAGAACAAAGGAAATAAAGTAAAATAAATTGAAAGAAGAAGATCAAACATCAATAGCAATTAAAAGGTCCCATCGAGAACCTCCAAATAGACGCAATGAGGGAAAATGAATAGTACTCAATTTCAGGAAAAGCATATTAAATATCATAAATCATGTGATGACATAAAACCTGTCAGCCTGATTCTAACTTTTATCGTAGGTTATGAATTGGTACCTATCAAGTGACGCCAAGTGTATTTCAAAGCTTTAGAAATAACTATTTTCATGCAAAAGAATTGCGTGACGCACCTAACTAATCCAAGGAAATTAGAACTTTAGAACACCTCCTTTCTATTTCCAGTCACCTAAAGAGTCAAGTTGCATCCGCTTGTAAGAAGTTGCTATAATAACAATTTTATTATAAAATTTACATTTTCAATACGAATAACAATTAGTTGCGACTAAAGAGCAAAGCAAATTAAAGTCTTACCTACACCAATTTTTGAGTTAATGAGCATTTCATCTGTGGTTAAGTACAAATATAAAGTAATAAAAACAAAAGGAACGTGGGGAAGGAAAGATTAATAGGATAACTGAATTTAGCACACACTAGTGAGGAAGAGAAGATTAAAAGCCAAGCCAACTGCCACATACGCACATACACACACTCAGAGAGAGAGAGGGGGTGCAAAAGAATAACCTTTTCTGCTTCCCTAAAATTTAAAATTTAAGATAGAGAGGGTCCAAGATGCAGTTGGTTTCTCCTTTCACATACTATGCTCGTTTAGGATATGTCAATCTCTCTTCTGTTGTCCCATATTTCCTCTAAATGGAATGACAAAATTATGTGTTGCTTAATCTAACTAGTAAATGATACAAGGTATCATTTCCAATTCAATGCACCACATTTTGCGTTTCTCATTAAGACATACATATTTTTAACAGCTATGTGGTGGCATTCCTGGATATGAATTTATAGTCATAGGATATGAATTTGTAGTCATAAACATTATTGATACTTAGTACCATTGCTGGATTGGAACTCTATTTTCATCACAACTGCATAACATTATTCCTTGCAGGCTTGCTTAGTGGTTACAGTGGAGATATAAAGATAGTTACATCTTGAATGTGACAGGCACTTGCAAATCTTAGTCTGTGAGTACCTGAATTAGAATTATAGAATGTGAGTACCTGAATTAGAATTATGCAGATGCTCTTTCCATATCGTGGGGGTAGGTGTGTTCCATTCATGCACTTCCACTCCAAGATGGCGTGCAATAGCATAGATTGTTGCCTACAAGATGATATTATCCAATGGATTATTCATGCGTGAATGGATTAGTCGGTATGAAAATGACAACTAACTGAAGGAGACAAATAAACGGTACTATTCCACTACACTCAATGCAGACAAACCGAAAATAAAATCGAGATCAAACCAATGCATACAGATTTTCCAACCCCAGCTTGCCCAGAGAGAATGATTACATTACTGTCTGAATTATCCTGCATATAATCCAATACAATAGTTAAGGAGGAAAAATGAATGTTGGTAGTTGACAATCATAAGAATGGACCGTTAATTTCCTGACAGCTGACGGTACAAATTAGAGAGAGAGAGAGAGAGAGAGAGAGAGAAGAAAAAGAAGAAATTAATTAATTAATTAATAATTAAAATTAAAAAACTAGCATTAGTACACATTTTCTAATGAATAGCATTAGTTAGCCAATCACACATTTCCAAAAAAGCACCAATCATTCTTCTACTCATTCTATAACAGATCAACAAAAACAAACCGAAATCAGAAAAAAGAAGAAAAAAATATGGATATCCAATGGCACCCTAAGAAAGGGAGACTTTTACCGAGTCAAACTCATTATCGTCATTTTGTTAGTTGTTCTTATGGTCACACAAGGTTTGCACTGATAAGATCCTTTATACTTTAAGCAGAGCATGAAACCAAATATATTGATCATGTAAAGAAAAAAAATGGAAAAACAAATAGTCACATTTATAATAATATAGCCCTCCACATTATAGACACTTGCACAAATCAATGTAAGTCCACAAGATAGAAAAGAAGATTCTGAGTAAAACAAGAATTTTTTCTTATCTGCCAGAACTCAAAGGTACTTTCTATTGGTTTGTATGAAATTGACAATATATTCGTTACAACTGTTGACTTTACAACAACAACAACAAAGCCTTTTAATCCCAAACTGTTGACTTAAGGTTTAAAAAAATCCTTGAGAGTACTTCCAGGAGAGAAAGACATGATTTTCTAATCACATCTTCTGTTATGAACCATCCAAATATTACCTATAGTTGATTATTGATAGGACTGTAGCTTCATCAAATAACAGTATCCAGAAGGATGTGAAGAAGAGAGTTCCTAAGAGGATGCTTGGATACAAATCTACTCCAAAAAAATTCAAACATTTTTGACTCAATCA